ATATAGATATGCAGTAACTACATCCATCAGATGCATCTCAAGGGTGGCATAAATTGTCATTCTAATAATATATCGAAATGTAATTAAATCCATGACTGGAGAATATGTGGATTCATAATCAATGCCAAATCGTTGAGAAAATCTTTGAGCAACAAGACCAGCTTTATAGCAGGTTATTTGGCCTTGAGCATCTCGCTTGCATATTAATACCATTTTATATCCCACAGGACGAGATGTAAGAGTGTCTACAATTGGACCAAAGACTTTCCTCTTACGCGAAGAGGCATACTCTTCCTCAATAGTAGTTTTCTATTTTGACCAATTAAAGCAACGCATCGCCTCTTCAATGGTTTGAGATTCAGGATCATCTTCCTCGCAAGAAAGGGCTTCTATAATCATATATGCAAATGATTCATCTACCGTAATAGATGGTCTGTCCCAAATATCATCTGTAGCACAATACAGAATAGATAATTTTTTACTCAACTTATTCTTATTCCTTCCAGTTCCAAGATTGTTTTTCATAGGAATTGAAGGTACATTATGCATAGATATATCATCATGAATTGGTAGTCCTGCAAGATGAGTGGCAATTTCTTGAAAAATAATACCAGGATTAGTTAATTTTATAGCTTTCTTCTTACGTGGTTGCTTATCTGGTCCACGAGTTCTTTTAGTTGTTGTTGTTATAACTTGAGGTATTATAGTCAATGGCACTGCAATCTGAGCAGGTGCATTCTGAGCCTCATTAATAGGCACTCTTGTAATTCTAGGTGTATCATTGAAGCCATTAAATGTTTCATCCGCGATCCGCTTTAAATGTAAAATCTTTGCAACTTCAGTTTCTGCCAAAGATGTCCTAGGATCGAGATTCATTGTAAACATTTTTGGTGCTTCAAATATGAGTACTTTATTTCTTTGTTGATTGGATACTCCTCCTTGAAGAGATGGGAATACAGTTTCTTCAAAACGGCAATTTTACAAACGTGCATGTAATAATGTGCTAGTTGATGGATCAACAATACGAATAATGCTTAATGAATCAAAACCAACATATATGCCTTCTTGTCGATGAGCTCAAATGGTATGCCATTGAGGTTCTAGTACTGGAATCCAAACACGGCAACCAAATACTCGTAAGTGAGATACATTTGAAACACGACCCAAAATGAGCTCATGTGGTGAAATAGTTTCAAGAGAAGAAGGGCGGAGGCGTATTAATGCTACAGCATGTAAAACTGCATGATCCCACATAGATGTAAGTAGATTTGCGTGAAGGAGGAGTGGTCACATAATGAGTTGTATACGCTTTATAAATGACTCTGCAAGTCCATTTTGAGCATGTTCATATGGAATACAATATGTCAATTCCATTCCTGTTGCAGTACAATAGTCTTCAAAAGACTTTGATGTAAATTCTTTTGCATTATCCATATGTAATATTTTTATAGGATAATCAAGAAAATGTGCCCAAAAGTGGATAAGCATAGATATAAGATTGGCAAACACCATGTTTTGAGTTGATAATAATGAAACATGTGATTGTTTACCTGATGCATCAACAAAGATAATAAAATAACGAAATGGTCCTGATATTGGATTAATAGGACCACAAATATCACCATGCAATCTTTCAAGCATTGGTGGTAATTCTTGTGGAAGTTTCCAAATTGAAGGTTGAGTAATCATTTTATCTTGCACACATGCACGACATAATTCCATAGAGTCTACATCTGTAGGCTTTAAATTGTGCCCAGTTATACATGGAATGATCATTCTAAATAATGTGGATCCTGGATGTCCCAATTGTCCATGCCAGAGAGAAACACGACTCTTTGAGATAGATGATGTAAAATTAAATATAATGGGAGGCCGAATCGCAATTCAATATAAACCATTTTCTGTAGCAAAAGCTTTTTCAACAACTTTATGATTCTTCGTAAGAACCAAAACTTCTTTTCTATTTAAAGTGGCAGTCGAGAGGTGATAACCATTAATACGCATATCTCGGTAGCTGATTAGACTCCGAGATGCTGAGGGTGCAAACATCGCATGTCTATATTTTATGATGGAACCCGCAGGTAATTTTACCATCGCTGTGCCCTCTTGGAAACAAAACACATTTGTTCCAGCCATGTTCATCATATTTTTAGTTTGCCAAGTTGAAGATTTTTCAATAAAAAATCGTCTATCTCGCAAGATAGTATGTGTTGTTGTAGAATGAATCAATGAGCGCATCATTTGATTCATCATTAGAGGTTCTATCAGTCATATAAGCCTCTAAATCATCAACACCAATTGAATCCATGGACGCATCTATGGTATGAACTTCACGAGTCTCAGCTCGTAATTTCTTATTTTCTTGGAATATTTTAATAAAATATTCTGAAGTATGGCACGCATGTGCTAAATGTCTAATCATTCCACATTTATAGCAAGAACGCATCTCTAATTTTTTTTTCTACTATAATTAATAGTAGAACGTTTATTCTTTCCATATTGATAGAAATGGTCTTGACTATGACTACCCTGATACTTATGAGCATGTTTTCCATGTTTATATAATTTCTTCTTAGACTTTGAAATATTAAGTGCATAAAATGGCGGCAGCAGGTAGCGGTAGGGCGGCAGGGTGGCAGCGGCGGGCAACGGCGGACAGCATCAGCGGGCGACGGTGGACAACAGCGGCTGGCAACGGCGGGCAATAGCGGGGGGGGAGCGGCGGGCAGTGGCGGGCAGCAGTGGACAGCAGCGATGGTCGCAGCAGTGGCGTTAGGGCGGTAGCAGCGGCATTAGGGCGGCAACGACGGCGGGCGGCAGCGGCAGTGGCGACAGGGTGGCAGCGGCGGCAGTTTGGAGTCTGTTCGGGGCGCAGCAAGGAGCAGGGAGCAAGCAGAGGGTGGAGTTGGGCTGGATCAAGTATTCAAAGCAAGCAAGGCAGAGAGTAGAACAAGTACTCTAAGCAAGCAGCTAATGTGTGAGGGGCCAGCAAGAAGAACAAGATCATGACCCAGACACTAAGTAAGGGTAGCAACAAGTTTGAAGAGTCAAAGACTAGAGCAAAAAAAAATTGTGATAGTATGTAGAAGAGAATCGTGCTGATAACATGTTGAGAATGTTTAGAAAGACACAAGAGTAATAGTAAGTCATACACACACACGAGTAGTAGTAAGTCATACACACACACGAGTATTAGTAAGTCATACACACACAAGGATTTCTAAGGAGAGAGAGCTTCACACACACAAAAATCTATTGATCTGGTTGTGTTTGGTACACAAGAAGAGAGAAGATAAGAGGATGAACAGTACTTCTCCACTAGACTCTAAATACTGTAGCTACAGTAATTATTGTAGTCTACAGTAAATATTATGGAGAGCGTAGGCTACATTTAATGATCTCAACACGGACAAAATGCTATAGATTTTAAAAATACTATCAAAAAAATCAGAGATATTTGATGGCTTCAGAGAGCTGAAGCCCTTAAGAAGCTCAAAAAAGAAGGTATATATATATTTTTTTTTGTACGCTTCTTTTTTTTTTTTTCTGCTGTGCCTTTTCAATCTCTGCTTTTCTTTTGCACAAAGCAAAGAAAGCGGGTAAACCCCCGGAAAGCTAACGTTTTCCAGGACTAAAGTCCTTAGTAAAGCCAATAATAAATGTAGGGCGAAGAGAAGAAAAGGTAAATAAAAAATCTAGATTTTTTTGACGTATGCCGGGGCGGACGACTTAAGTCCTACTTTCCATTTTAGTGGTCGAAAAATCGAAAAGGAAACAAATTTTCTATTTTGTAAAATAAATTGCTGCGTGCTGCAACCGTCAAAAGGCGTGGGGCGGAGCAGCAAATAGAAATAAAGGTGGTGGCATGACGGCTCGTTTTCTTTTCCAAGTTACTGCATTGCCCTTGATGCATTTATCTTTTCTATTCAATCCAAACCCCTTTACTGCAACTTTTGCCTCTATGGCCAAAGGCGCGAAGCGCAGCCAAATATTTTTTTTGTGTTCTTTTTCTAGGAGTTCCGCGGTTAGCGCAAATGACTGTTAAGTGCGCTGAATATATTGATTGATAAAGGATTTAGCTTTCTACTATGGCATTGTTCAGAGCATGTCTAAACGACTACCTTACCTTTATTTGGAAACAAATTTAGAAAACGCAGCATACTACAATAGATTATGTCTAAGTTAGGCCTCATATGGATAAATCTTATGGTTAAACGCAATTCATTCGGGTTTTTTTAGCTCCTATCCATGTACGTACAGCATGGTCAAGCTATCGAGCATAAAGCATGTAAATTTTTAATGTGTTTCAAGGCACGCCTAGCTTTTAATCCTGAACCATGGGTCTACTTCATGGCGTAGCATCTAATTACTATGTTATTGCAGAACTGAATCAAAATCAATCTAGGGAAGGATTCCCGCTTAGATGCTTTCAGCAATTCTTCGTGCTTTTTCCATTACATGAATAATCAACAAGTTGCATAATCTCCTACTTTGAATCATTACTTAAAGGACAGCTTCAGCTGTCAAACCATCTAAAATGTGTCGTTTAAGCCTTTGTAGGCTCTTTACAGGCACCTACCACATGTTGGGGTCGAAGACCATGTAGAACAGATTCAGCACTCATAATGCATGAAATGAGAAATGCATGATGCATCGTGTTTAGTGTAGGGCCGAAGGCCATAACATCTTATTTTTTATGATCTTATAATAGAAAGAAAATAAAATAAAATAAACTATTTGAAAGTAATTATCAATAAATAATTCATGACAGGGATTAAAACGGTTAATTAATCAAATTTGAATAGCATTTTAATGTAGAATAATTCAAAGAGGGTGAGAAGATTCAAATGAAGAACCATGCACCCCAACAATGGATAAATTGAAGTACAACTCATATATCATTTCTTGACATGGCAGCTAAACTTCTGGCACAAGGTTTCGACACCAGTTGAATACCTGACGGAATTCTAAAACACATTTGAGTAACAACGACGGAGTAATACTGGTGAAATCACAGATCAATAGAAGGTCCAAATTTAGGTTTTATGGTGTGCCTGACACGAGGTACCCGAAGACAAAAAGCACTGCAGTAGACGCCCGACGCAAAACATAGATAATAATTTATATAGCTTTAAATCTGTCCAGACTAATCGTAACACTTTCAACGTTCTCTCCAACAGTAGAGCTTCTACGATGGTGTGAATAATGAGGTCCCATCACTTCGCTCACTGCCAGGGAAGCCATCTGCCAACAAGTGTTTTGTAATCGATCTATCAAGTGTAATGTACAGAGTAACACGTGCAAACACAAGGGCGACAAAGAATCGCGATCCAAATATGTCCTTCTGTACGGTGACCTTGAGAACCACAAGCTACTTGTCCGGCTTCCGCTTGCAAACCGTCGTGTGCCTTGCTGGTTTCTGTTCTGCTCATGACAAACTGTGACATGATTTTTGTGGCAGCCTCTGACGGTTGTTCGCAACTTCGGGACTGGTCAGCGTCACCGTCAACCAGTAGGCTGTGCCCCTGCATTCCACACCAAGAATACCAGACTGCGTTATGGTAGTTCTAGTGCCTTGACCTGAAAACATCAGAACAGGTAACAGAGCTTAGAGAGCATTTGCCAGTGAGTCGTCCATAACTTCCAGTTGTTTGAGACGCAAGGTCACCAGAGCCTCCTCTTTCTCTCCGAACTTATGTTTTCCCTTTCCTCGCCACCACTTGCTTACAGTTAATGACTCTGAAGGCTCTCTTCTGACAGGGCCCAGCAAAAGGACACCTGCAGGGAGAGTATATGATCGTACCAGCTGTGTGGTGAAGTCAAAGTCCTTGAGCTAACTTACTCCTAATTTCAAAAGAAAACCATCGATGCCAGGGTCCTAGGCTTGATTTGAATTACCTTTTCGTTTACACTGCCTTCCAGTTGAGCCGAGGCGCTGGACGCTCTCCAAGAATCCCCCTTCATCTCTTGCTCGCGTACATTCTGCAATGTTTTAGGTTGCGTCAACGTTTCGAAGACAAATCGCTAGAACATTGATCGACTCCTCTGACCACACCGATTTAAGGACAATCCGAAGAGCCAGATTTGCAAAACACAAGGGAGACAAAACCGTGGTCACACGTCAACCAACAAATGAACGGAGAACTCAGAGAAGGAAATGGACATTCTACGAGTGGGTCACGAGAAACCAAATGAAACATAATGCTGCCAAGCTGTTTGTATTATCAACTTACTCTGCCACTACCCCAAACTACCCCAAAGCTTACCACCGCCAGCAACCTCGTTTGATTCATCACCCTCCTCCGAGCAAGTGGTGGAAAATTCGTGGAACATGTTCTTTGCGGTGTTGATGTACTTCTGTTAGTTGCAATTCTGCGGATGGGTTTTTTTCTTTTTTCTGCAAGATGATCTTCTAGGAAATTCAGACCATGGATACGATTATTCTGTTTGCGTCCTTCATTAGGATAGAGAATACTCTTCCTTGAGGATTTCTTGGGCACACTGCAGTAACTGGAGGCACCATGTGCAGGTAGCTGAAAATTACCTCTGCTCTCAACCTCGTTGTGCGTTTCGGTTGCGTTTGGTGAAATCCTTCCAGAAGTATTTTTACCGACGGTATCAGCTTCTTCATCGTTCATCTTGTCAATTAATTTTAGACTGGTTTCCAGTGATCTTGCCCTCGTCACATCAGTATTAGATTTAGGGTTTTCATTAATTGCTGAAGTTGTGTCAGCAGTCATATGCGAATCATGAGATCTTAAATATTGCTTCATACGTTCTTTTGCAATAAGTTCTTCTGAAAAGTATGGAGCTTCCAGGCGGTTTATGCCAAGTGTATTAGTTTCGTCTTCTGCAGTCACGCCTGCGTTTTTATTAGTATCTGCTGCACACACAACCCAATTCGATTATAACACCGTGATGAGGGCTTTTTCTAGGCAACGGGATCGAACGTGTAAAATCTAATATGAATGGAGAATATAGTGGTATCACTTAACAAGCAAACCACGAGCTAGTGCAGGCTTGAATACGTTACTATGTTCCACAAAAAATTGTTGTTGCGCCGATTATTACCCAAAAGGCTTGACGCTGTCAGCCGAATCCAATCTTGTCAAACGACAACAGGAAGTCTCGGTGCAAATTGGGAATTGTGGATTGAGGGTTGTGAATCAGCACCAATTGATACTCACCGATGTTTCCTAACACTACTGTTGCACCAGCTCTTGAATCTTCCAGTTCACATTGCTCTTCGAAACCCCTGCCACCCACGTGTTCATTACACTGAGTATGAAGACTGCCTGTTGACTCACAAGCGCTACTTCGATGGGCCTGAGCGTTCCGCTCAGCCAAGTCATGCTCTTTCCTCTCTTCGTGAAATTTACCAATTCTGGATTCAAAGTCATGTGCCATCCCCTTCACTTCTGGATTTGCAGATTTCTTTGCCTGTTACCACATGATTCATCCACAAAGTTGAGAATTTTACACAGAAGTTGAACAATATGCAGCGAAAGAATATTTTATCAAGATATAGAATAGCACTAACAGTGCAACCGAAAAGTATAATACCTTAGAAACTATGCTTCTGAAATGCTCCACAACCTCCTCCTCGCCAAGTGCGTTCTGGAATTTTGGAATTAATTCAATTATCCTCTTTAAGCTCTTGTCCGTGTAGTTGAGCTGCGCCATGCAATAAGATAGGTCCGTCCATAGCTTCACATCTGTATAAATGTGCGTAGAATTCGCCAGGATTACAAATATCAGCCGTGGCTGAAGTGAACATCTTTTTTACTAACGATATTCGGAATCTCAAATAAGCATTTATTTTGTAGCGTAGTATTGATAGTAGTGAAAGCTATAAATGATGATTCTACAATGGATTTCATAAGTAAACAGAAAAATAAAACGATCTTGTCAGAGTGCGCCAACTACGTGAAACCATCTCATATGAGCCGAGATCATTGGCCAGAAAACACAAAGAATATTTCTCTTGAATGGTCAAGGCTTACCAGAAGTGCCCGGGAAACGTTGACACAACTTTTCAATTAGAGCCTCCTTTAGCCTATCCTATAAACAAGCCAAAAACTTAAAACGTTACACTTTCCGAAATGTAACAATCAAAATTAAACCATGTGATTTGTTTCCATCGATTTATGTACCTTAGTGATTGTGCTGATAAAGAACTCCACAACATTACGAAACGTGTCCTGTGACAGTTCAGAGTTACAAGAAAGTCGGCTGATAATGTCGGGAAGATGGTTGTAAATGGGATTGTTTCCTGTGCAATCATTGAGAAACTCAGTAAGATTATGTGTTGTATTCATTGCTTGGTTAGAATGTGAGAGCATTGTACACTGCAAGATTTTCATCTCGCAGTGAAACATGAGCCTTCGACAGTTGTGACATAGGAGATTACTAGAGTGATGTTGCAACGATGTCTCTGAGAGGTTAAAAGTCGGACAAAAAGAGGCATTTTTGGGGTGTAAACAAAAAATGCTTGAGACGCTGATCACATCATTATTCCACCCAAGAAGCTTGTTTGTTGACTGCAAGTGTTTCTTCCAGCTCAGTAAGAACATTCTGGACTGCATATCCTAAATGAGTTCTCACTGGAAATTGGTTAATCAAATTCACCCTTGTTCGCAAGTTCTTGAACAAAGAGCTTCACAAGATTTCGAATTCGTTCATCCTCGTCCTCCAACCGCAGGACCATCTCACAAATGTGTCCATTCACCTATATAAGAACATCATTGTTACAAATGGAAACTTTGTATGTAATTATGTATTTATTAACACAAACGAAAAGATGATCAATTGTTCTTCTAAAGCTATACAAAGTCGGAATTTATTATATACAGGCAGAGAGTGAAAGAAAACAGCGGTACCTTGACTACATCATTGAGGATGAGATGAGTCAAAACAAGAACTGCATTCTTCCGAACCTTTCGGTCTTTGTCATTTAGGGGAGAATACATGTGCTCAGTCCACGGCTCTAGCACGTTAGGAAATCGAAATGCCAAATCGCCTAGAGCAATAATACAATTTGAACGCACTGCTGAATCCCCCGAACTTTGTGCTACTGTGAAGAGCAGTTGCAAGTTCTGGTCACTGCAAGGTTTAGAGAAGAATGATTGGTTACTCTATTCAAGGTAAGTCCATTTTAGGTCTATCATAAATCACCGCTCAGCGACTCAGATCTGAGAGATATTCGAGAAAATTGAACACGCCAAATTTCAACGAAATAAAACAACAAAAAACAAAATTCGCTAAGAAAGACAGGGAAGAGGAGCTTAAGTAATGAGAAGGATCAATCTGAATATTCCCACAGGTTAAGAAACACTAAATTGCCAACTTCAACGGAGAAGAATTAATTTAGATCATATTTCTATAGAGTGAAGTACACACCAGAAGTCCCCATTAATAGCCATAAGTTTGCAAAGAGCTAGCATTGCTGAAGACCCCAGTCGCGGATACTGTGCACAAAGACAACGAATACAGAAAGTATTTTACATCGCATCATGGAGTCTAGTTTATTGACCAAGTTAGCTTCCGAGTACGATAATCAAAAATAGATCTGTAAAGCAGTTATCTTTACCTGCTGCATGAGACCCGAATTACGACAGATTTTGGCGACAATGGGAGCCATATCATCTATTAGAAACTTTTGACTTCTATCACCAGAAATTATCTCGATTGCAGTCCTCTCCAGGAGGGAATCTATTCTTGCATCTTCAGAAGCTGCCATCCCAAGTTCTGTATCAATGTTCTCAACCTGTAACATTTCAAAATCGTATTAAGTTAAGATACGTAAACCTGTTAAGTTAAGATACCTACATCTGTGGCAAAGTAGATGTTACTACTGTGAGTTATTGGGTGAATAAAAGGATAATCCATCAAATATAATTATTGAAATAGTTGCTCCTCATGAACATTAATGCACTGAAATTAACTTGCAGAGCAGCGGCATCTAGGTTTCATCCTTTACTTCACTGCTGGCCAGTCGACACGAAGTTCCGCCATCACTAAATTGTGCAGCAGCTACCGTGTCTGCTGCTGCCTTCTCCTTGTCTGCTATTTGCTTTCGTAGTTTGCGCACACATGATTCGACGTAAACAAGATGCTTGAGAGCGATGTGCGCTAATGTGAAGAGGAAGCGACTAAGATGAGATGCTCTGGGTTCAATCATATCAAATCCCACTCTTAAAGGACTGACAGGAACTCCATTATCCGAGGCCGTGGGTACCCCCCGAGACGAACACTCAATATCTATCTCCTGGAAGGTGCCGAACACTGACTTGCAGAACTGTAGAAGAAGTCCTGAAACTAACTTTTCAGGAGTTGGATGAAGAGCATAAATTGCATTGATAGCTTGTTCAGCGGCTGAGTACCAGACCTCCTCAGACAAACCTGCTCAAGTTAACTTATGATTGAGGTGCTGCCACTAGAGAAGTTTCATTAGCACAAAACATTGGCGCGTAAAATACGCAACTGTAACGAGTTCACTTTGAGACTGCTAAAATAGTGACCTCAAGGTGAGCACCCTGAATTCACCTGAAATATCCGTGTAAAATCCTATTAATGGCAAAATGTGAACATGTATACATTCACGTTGTAGATTGAAATCTAAGAGCTCTCTCAACAGACATCTCAGACACAATTTAATTGTTTGTCTAATGTATCTGGAGGCAACACAGAAAGTTTGGCTAAACCCACCTGGTCCTATGATTAAACTGGCTAAAACACTGAAGATCTTGTGATTTGGTCCTAGGCCAACTCGATCAGCATCTGAAAGACGTTGTAGTGCAATGCATGCATATCTTGCAATCAGGGAATCTTCTCCAGCACGTCGGCTCAAACAGATACAGATCATACTTTTAAGTTGGGAGCTTAAAATTTGAGGTTTTGACCTAGCAGCCATGCACAAAACAACCAAAGCCCCCCGACTCTTCTGAGGGGTAACATCAGCAGCATTGAACGTGAAATAGTTCCAAAGAGCTGCCACCTGCAAAGAGCCATTCTCTCAGAAACAAAAATCTATTGTAACCATAAATAAAAATTGAAGTCTTGGATATCAAAGGAAAGAAACCAAAGTTAGTGCCTAAATACCGTGCTTTGGGAGATTGTCCCATTTTTCGTTAACTTCATCACGATTGCTTCAATACAAACTATATCCCCAATGCTTGCATCCAGTGCAAGTTTCAAAAGATTTTGAGCTGTTTCAGATGGACTTGGTTTCATGTAAAGAGCTGCGAAAGCTCCCTCAACAGCTTCACATACACTTGGCTCCTGAGAAAATACCTACCATAGGCAAGAAGAAACACCCACACACACACACGTATATATATATATATATGAACACCATAGAAAATCAACTGATATGGACAGGAAATGTTTAAGGGAAGATTGCTTCAGCATGTATACTCGGAATTGTATTAATTTACTATTAAATGATGTTGAGATAAAGTTTCAACCAACAACAAAAACAGTAAAAAACTAATACAAAAAGCGGTAGGTGAAGGAACATACAAGGGGTAACATTTTTAGTAGATTCATTTGGGCTCCATCAATTTCAAACTGACAGGCCAGTACCAGTAGCGTTATTGTATGCTTCACATCGTCTGAACACGATGAAGCAAGAAGCTGCGCAAGCACATCCATTACTCCGACAATACAGCAAGAAAACTGCAATCCTGACTCCAGGGAAGCCACCATAGCTCGGGACCGTTCTAGGCCTCCTGTATCTGTTGCATTGGGTTCATGAGGTTCAGGCTGTATCTGTGCAAAATTAGTAGATTTTGTGAGAAAGTTGTGTGAGGATGGATGGAGCTTCGATAGTAATCAATATCCCATACAAGCACACAAAGAAGGTTTACTACTGAAGAAAGAGAACAAACTCAAATCTCAGAACCAAATGCAATGCAGTATCACAAGTTGTGTAGTTCAATTTTCACAGGTGCACCTGAGATGGATCGGTGTGATCGAATTGCGAGTTCGGGGTGCCTTCAACCTGATCACCATTTACCTCTTCTGAAGCTTCGTCCCTATTTACACCGACACGATTCTCTGGTTCAACCAAATGAGGGTCTGCCTCATTGAGGTTCACGTATATCGAAGTCATTTCTTTTAATTTCTCTTTGAATTGTTGGATTGTGTATTCAAATTGGCTAATTCGAAGACTTGGACCAAAAGGATTGAATTGGAGGAGAGTAGTCAATAATTGAAGAGCACTTTTTCTCACGATAGCTGCTTTATCTTCCAATCTTCCAACGGCAACCTGTACCACCGAATTCCAGTGACCAATTGAAATGGCACTCTCCACACAAAGTTTTGCCCACGTTTGTAAGACTTTGCTGCGAGTATACGAACTTTTATCTCTGGCACGATCCAGGAGAATATCTATCATTCCCTGTTCAAATACGACAAATTTGTGTTATCAGCAGGATGATCAAGATGCAAAAATCTGATGAAAAATGAGCAGCAAGAGAAAACGCCTTCGTTCAGGACCAGCAAGAGTTCTTAAACAAGAGCTTCACCCCCATGCAGACTCACTTGCTTGCAACGGAGGAGGGTCATCTCGTCCCCTGCAACGTCCCCAGAAGAATCCTTGGAAGCCTTCGCCAGCAGGGTACCAATCACTTGCACAATCGCATTGCGCATTTTGTAAGACTCACCATTCAGGTGAGGAGTGATAATACTGAGATTATCAGTCATAAACCTCGCCATACGCTCTGCCATTGCCACTAGAAAAGAGCTTACACTATCAGCTCCAAAATTATCACGCTTTAAGTCTAGGGGATTAATGTGACCAATCCCTCTTAAAATAGACATAGGGAGGCCTCTATCGTGATACTTTTCTTCAGCCATGGAAACAACTTCTGCGAGATGAACTGAAAGATGCTCATACTTGTGAAGTAGATTTAAAATAGTAGATGTCACTGGTACGATATAGCCGTATTTTGCTGCGCAGGCGGCCAGGATGTTGCACAGGGCATCTTTTAGATCCTTCTCCTTCGTATACGCTGAATTTTCTAGGAGTAAAAAGGCAGCTCTGCAAACTCATCAAGGACCATCAATTAATGATGATAGACTTATCCATCATAGCCTACTCTTACCACAGCCTTCAGAATTTTGAGAGCATGACTATCTGTGAGGAAATGATATAAATTTGGACATAACAGGACATTTCTTAACATAAACAAGTCAATGTCAACAGTTGCACAAGTTAAGAAGGTAAGCAAACAAACTCGGCGAATAAAGCGATGAAATCATTCTCAGGTTGTGACATCGAGTAAAGGTGTCGCAAGTCAATTTCCACAGTGGTAGCAAGCAAGCGAACAATACGCGTCCTAGGGACATCCCAACTCCACTTAGCAGGCACAGGTTCCTTTCGAGGATGTACCTTCTTACCCTATTCAGAAGCAACGCCAGAGTAATAAGTACCACATCTCTAATGAATAAAATTAACTCACGAATAAAACATACTCCTGATCAGCAAAGAAGGTGAAATACTTACTAATACTCTCCTGATAACCTCAAGAATCACAAAATAAAATCTGAAGGAAATATTATCAAGGTGCAAACCATTCGTACATATCGAATGTGTTTTCCTCTATATCTACGACAGAACTTTGACGGTTGGTAGCATACCTTCCCAGTAGTAGCCTTTAGCACTGGTTTTACTTCTGCAGCTTCTTCCATAATGAGAACACACTGCAGGAAGTAAGAGTATATTTTAAGTGCATTCCTATGCAAATGCAT